GGAGGACGACTTTGTGGATTGGTTTTGGACATATGGGTTAATGGGTTAATGTTGGACTTGTGGGCTTGGGCAGCACTGGGTTGGGATGTTTTCTTGATGCACACTTAACCTTTATATAAAACTCTCTCTTATACATGAGTTTCTGTGGATTCGTTTCTTTACCCAGGTTAACACAAATGTTTTCTGCTTTCTTTTCTGAGGTTCTTCTGTTTTGTTTTGTCTTTGTTGCTTGTTTTGTATTTGCATGATTTTCTGTATAGGAAATCCAGGAAAGGTACATTTACAAAGACAGTAACGGGATTAGTAAATACCTGGGAGCATGGTAGGGGGATCAGGGAGGAAACGGGGAGTGAATAACAATGAGTTTGAGAAGAAAATGTTCTGAAGTGGATTGTGATGATTGCCCCACTCTTCTTGATATTACTAAGCCATTAAATTGTGCGATGTGTGAATTATACGCCAATAAGATTATTTTTAAAGTTTGAAAATGAAATTAAAAGAAATGAACTTCCCTCCAGACATTTGGAAGACCCTTGGATTCCAGGAGGAGCCCTGGTGATGTAGTGTTACATGTTGGGTTGCAAATCTGAAGAAGGTCAGTGGTTCGGAACCACCGGGCGCTCCGAGGGAGAAAGAAGAGGCTTTCCACTCCTGTAAAAGGAACAATCTCAGAAACCCATAGGGGCATACTGTCTCCTGACATAGTGTCAGGAGAGACCAGCTCAGGAGACAGACTCAGGAGAGTAGAGGGCCAGTGCAAGAGGAAGGTCCTAGATGGGGTGGATTGACCAGCGGCTACATCAACAGGCTCAGGCGTAGGGATCATTGTGAGGATGGCGCAGACCATGCCGGGTTTCCTTCTGCTGGGCATGGGTTCTCCAAGGGCAGAGCCGACTTGAAGGCACCTAATAACAGCAACACAAGTTCACAGTCTGAGGAACCCACAGGGGCAGTTCTATCTTCTAGCCCATCGGGTTGTGATGACTCCGAATCAAAGGGGTGTCAGGGAGTTTTCTTATGACAGGAGAGGACCGTGGAGCTTAGGACACACACACCTTACAGGGTAGATAGTAAGCCTAACTGCCCTCGGCTTTGGAAAGTATGCTGGTTAGATTAGCTGTCAACTTGTACCTGATGGAAGCAGAGGGACACAGTCCAATCTATCACACAGTCCCAGCTTGAGGATGCCTCCCGGGATCCTGGGAGCCCCTCCTTTGCCCTTCCCGACCTGCTGGCTTGGATTCTGTGTCTGCCTCCAGGGGCGGCCCCATGCATACTACTGACCGTGGGAGCTGTGGCGCCCTGCCCGGTTCCCCCCCTACCTTGGATCCACTCCACTCTGCACCCACCAGCCTGGGATCTCCCTGCTTCCTGCCTCCTCCGCCCACAGCTACATGAGGCTGAAGAGGGCTCTGGCCAACAACGGTCCGGGGACTGGAGTTGGACGGGGCTGAGACGCCTTCTTGATATAAAGTTATTTCTTACACATGAAACTAAAAGATGCCTTCAAGGTAGCAAAGGGTGCGGCTTGGATCACCCCCTGTATCACATACCCAGAGCTCCAGGGGAAGAGACATGGAGACACTCTGGGCCAGGTGCTGCTATAGCAGAAATGCCCCTTTGATGCCTTTCACATTTTGGCTCCCGTTGGTGATCACAATCAAGTTATCACAATCATTGTGGTAGGAGGGGAATTGTCGCCACAAGGGAGCAGTGATTTAAAAGTTAATACCTGATAGAGACCTGCTTTATCCTATTGGGACGAATTGTTCAGTGGTGGTGGTTTGGGACAAGTGGGAGTTATTGACATTCAAGATTCAATTATACTTAATTATTAGTTTTCACGGTGCAGGTGAAAAAAATGACATCGTGTCCATTTTGCCCAATGGAAATGAATGTTGCAAAAGTGATCACTGACCCAAAAGAGAAGCCAGAAACTACCCCCAAGCCTTTAAAAATTAACCAAAGACAAAAACATATCAGTCTTAACCACAACTCGGGTGCCCAGAGGCCGATGATAAATTCAAATCACAGATTTCCTTTTTTTGCTTCTGTCCCAAATGTCAGAAATGCTTGGCATCTGAGCAGATTGCATTTTCCTCCCCCTTTCTGAACAGCTCAACTTGAAAGATCAACATATCCCTTGGGGGGTGGGGGGTGGGGGTGGGAATCTTTTCTTGTAAACTGGAATGTTTGCACACATAACTGTAGGAAATGTTTAACATTTGCTTTGATAGGGCAGCAATTTGGTCAATACAGTAGAATTGTTTCTTTCTGGTTTGTTTCCATTTTCTTGTCTGTCTGCAACACAGGCATTCAAATCAGCAAAAACAAAGCCGAGCCGCTTCTTCCTCAGGGTACAGTTTCTCCTGTCCACAACCCCCGGGGCCACGTGCTTTGAGGGGCTCATTTATGAGATTTTGTTCTGAATCAAAGCGGTAAGTCTCCAGACGACATCCGGAAAGCCCTCGGAGGAGGAGGAGGAGGAGGAGGAACAAAGGGGGAGGAGGGAAGACGAGGAAGACCAAGAAGGAAAACATGCAGAGTCTCATCGCTTCTAGCTTGTGCAATTGTTTGGGTACACGTAGGATATACGTAGTGTCCAACATGTTTTAAATAGGGCGCTCTCTTTGAATCTTCTGCTATCTTTAAAGGATGAAGACATCAAGAGAACAAAGTGAGTTCCTTTCTGTGATCAATTGTCACCGATTTGATGACCAACAGAAAAGTCTGTGGTTCAAGGAGAATGCTTTCTCACCAACACTCATCGTTCCATCCAGTCTGAATGTGTGAAGAACACTGCTCTTTGTGTGGCTCGGTAACAGGGGGACCCTCAACTTCCTGTAAAAACCCCCGCATGTTGCCAGGACTAAGCATCAACACAAGAAAAGGCTGTCGGGAAGATGGCAGCATCAAGGTAGTGGTCTGCACCACACTGCGGGGAGGAACCTGCGCCATGACGGCATATAGTTCATGACACTTGCGACCATTTCTCTCTAGAAACAGTTTCGTGCTACCACCACGCCTGAACGCACCGCTCTCCTCTGACGTCTTTCCCGTTTCATTTGGGCCCAATCCCTTTACAGCGAAGGCTGTGTGGTGTGTGCTGTTAGGGTGTGTGCGTGCCTCAGGTGCGTGTGGCTCCCAACAGAACAGTGTCTCACCAAAGACAGCACCTCTCCGCAGACATCATTCCCATGCCCTGGACCCCGTGGCTCCTCATCTTCTTAAGGGCTCCCCCTTCCTTACCTGCCCCTTTCTCTCCTGGATCTGTTAGGCATTGAACTGACACGTTGAACCTGTGAATGTGACCTTGTTTGGAAATAAGAGTTTTTGAAGACACCTGTGAGCATAAACTTATACTCAAGCAGGGAGGGTCCTAACCCAACGAGTGGTGTCTTAGAAAAGAGAAGAGACACAGACACAGAATCCCTTGGGAAGGTGGCCTAGGAAATGAAGTGACCTGCAAGCCCAGGGATGTACAGGGGACAGCTGGCCATCAACAGAAGCTGCAAGAGGCACAGAACAGGTACTTCCTTAGAGCTCTTAAAAGGTATCACCATGGCTGACATATTGATATTTGGGGATCCTGGTGATGTAGTGGTTACACATTGGGCTGTGATCCCCAAGGTCCACAGTTCAAACCCACCAGCCATTCCATTAAAAGACCAAGCTTTCTGCTTCCATAAAGAGTATTAGTCTCAGAAGCTCACGGGGCAGTTCTAACCTGTCTTGTAGGGTCACTACGAGTTGGCAGCGACTTCATGGCACTGAATGTAGTTTGAGTGTTTTGGCCTCAGGAGCCCTGGTAGTGTCATGGTTAGTGCTGGGCTGCTAACCTCAGAGCCAGCGGTTTGAAACCACCAGAAGCTCTGTGGGAGAAAGACCAGACTTTTTACTCCTGAAAAGAATTACACTATCAAGAAACACAAAAAAGAATTGCACTCTGAGACCCACAGGGGCAGGTTCCACCCCGCCCTTGAGGGGCTCTGTGACTCAACTAGGAAGCCGTAAGTTTGGCCTCCAGAAGAGGAGCCTGGGTGGCGCAGGGCTTAAAGCATTCCCCTGCAAATTGAAAGGCGGGTGGTGAGAGCTACAGGTTCTTTGGATGGTTTGGAGATAATAAATAGTTCTTATAACCCAGACTGTGGCTTATACTTTATTATAGCACTTCTCGGAGACAAATTTGGCCATGAACTTTCCCTTATGAAATCACTGGTGATAGCATAAAAATATACTTTATCTCAATACTGAGGGGTATGGGGAACTTAGACCTCACATCCTCCTGGTGGCATCTGCTAATTGTAAGGTCAGCAATTTAAGTACAGCAGCTGCTTCAAGGGAGAAAGATGAAGTTTCCTGCTCTGGCAAAGATGGGCAGTTTTGGAAATCCAGACAGACAATTCCTACTCTGCCCTTGCGGTGAGTCAGCTTTGACAGGGGGTGGGGGGTGGGGGTGTGGAGTGGGTGAGAGAACTATCACTCACTTCTCCACTCCCTTTCTCAGAAAGAAACAAAAACAAGAAAACTGTCTATACCATTTTTTCTTTTTTTCCTGTTCATTCTTCTACCTGCGCCAATCTGGCTTTCAATCCCATTCACCCCCCAAATGACCTTGATTCTCCTTCCACTACACACTACTTTGTTTAGGGAGAGGAAAAAAAAATTAAACCCAGCTCTCCTGAAAGGACTCAGTAAATGCATATTGAATAAAATACATATACAAGGAAATGCCTAGGGCATTTAAATTGAAAACCAATGTTCAGATCTATTTGATTTTTTAGAGTTTGTTAAACTCAGACCATACTGACTGCCGTTGGTTGGATTCTGAAGCCCAGCGACCCCGTTTTGTGATGCACAGGTTGGAATTCCTCCCTTTTCTTCCAGAATTTGTCTCTCCCCTTTCTCATTTCTTATTTCGGCTCCAGGCACTAGGTTTCCGATTGCGAGCCTCTTACTCTTGGTTGTCTTCCCAAACAGTGAGACCACAGACATTTACCTTGTAGGAGGATAAAACGTTTATTTAGATGCAAACACTAACCTGTAATTTGTCATGCTTCAACTTGTGCTTACAAACAACTTCCAGTAAAACCCTCTCTATATAGTAAGCAAATCAATACATTGTAAACTTACAATCTCATCAATGAGTAAGCTTAACGAATATGCCATTGCAGACTTCGGAGTACATTGAGTTCGGAAACTAAACAAAAGAAACTGCTGCAGGCAGACCTTATCACCCCCAAGCCAGACACTAAAGAGCTAATCAAGACTCCTTCAACCCAATGACACAAATGCACTTTTATTTTTGGTTACAATCCCCTGCGAAGCACAAGACCACTGGATTGCTGGAACGGTCACACATTTCAAACGGCACGAAGCAAAGCGAGGAGGAGATAACATACCAGCCTGACAGAAGCTGTCTTGAGAGTGCAAATTTTGCATTTTCTCTTCCTGGACCACTCGGACACGCAGGGCACCCCGGACACGACGGCAGGGTCAAGAGCATGCTTTCGCTACCACATGGGTGGGACACGGGTTTGAGCCAGACCTCCGGGCCTTTGAGGCTACCTCAGGTTTGCTACAGGGAACGGGCTTCTACTACACGGAGTGCAAATCAAATCCCGAGGGGCAAAAGGACAGACTGGGGACGCCACAGATCCACCTGCGGTCTTACCACCTGGCACAATTGGCACATCGTAACCAGGACGTCGCCTTAACTGGGGATGTGGAAGGCGGCGCGGCGGCGGAGCGAGTGCAGGGCCACCACGCAGCAGCCCCGGAGCAAGGCTCCGAGGGTGTAGACCGGACCTGAGCCCCCTGTCTGAGTACTCAGTGCCCACACCACGGTGGGCACGGCGGGGGCGGCCACGGCCACGAGATCCACCAGGAAGCTGCTGCTCCAGTACTGCTTGGCCACCTCCCCGCGAGGCCGCGGGAGGGGACGGTCCCATCTGTCCGGGGAGGCGGCAAAATCCAGCTCTGTCATGAGCTGGTTCTCTCCAGCGTCCGCCCCCGCGGACCTGTCGTCGGGCGTCTCCACGGGAGACAGAAGGATGGCCGAGGGCGGATCGCTTGGCGTTAAGTCAACCCCCAAGGCAGAGGTGGCCTCCGGGGAGCTGTCGGCCAGCTCGATCCCGGATTCCTCGCGGGGCTCCCGCACCTGCAGCAGGCTCTCCAGGAGCTCCGAGATGGCCGGGCTGAGCGGCAGCACGACGTCGGTCTGCACCGCCTGCTCCACCGCCGCACGGCGCCGGCTCGCGGGGCTCCCCGGCCCCGGGGTGGGCACAGACGCCAGGTCATCCAACAGCTCCGTGTGCAGCTCGCCGTCAGCCCCTGCCCCTGGGGCCGGCTCCTCCGGAGACAGCCCGTCGGCCATCGGGCCAAAAGGGGTGTTCAGGGCGAAGCCCTTGACCGGGGAATCCCACGGGAAGTCTAGGCACAGCTCATCCCGCAGGGAGCCATTGTGCGCCATCTCCATGCTCTGAAGGAGGGACTCCAGCTTCTTGTTCTGGATATTTATGTCCACGAAGTACTTCTGGATGCCTTTGTCTTTGTCCGCCAGGCTGCTCCTCATGGTCTCCATCACCTGTTTGAGCTGTTTGATCTCTTTCCTGGCTTCCTTGAGCGCCAGCTGGGCCTCCACCCGGTGGCATTCCTCTTCAATCCAGTCTTCCCTCATGCGGGCCAGCTGGGACTTGAGCTCCACGATTTCACTCTCCCTGGAGTGGGAAGACAGGCGGGGGTAAGGAAAATGGCGACTTTGAAGCAAGGAGCAAGTCATTCTGACACACAGCCAGGAGCCTGTGGCCTTCCATCTGAAACGCAGAGGCTGAATCGCCTTTTGAAATGCCCCCCACTCTACTTGGCAGGTGTTAGCCTCCACCACCCATCATCAATTGTAAGACAGCCAACGTCATACACAGAGCCAAAATAAAAATGTCTTCCTTATGTGAAATATCATTTTTTTATCAATATGATTCTGTCTCCAGGTTTGGGATGAAGATGAATAATTAGATGATCCATGTATGTGTTGTTGTAATATTGCTTTCTTAAGTCCGGCCTCGGCTATTTCCTCTCCCTACTACTTCCCTTCATGAATGCCCATGGTGCATATGGTCACCTCAAATGCCACACCCGATACTTTCAGAAACTGGTAATCTGGTTCACTTGAGACGTGAACTTGGCTCTCAAGTCCATGTCAGGCAGATGAGGAACCGCGTTTGTTTGGAATGTGAGATAAGACCCTGCGTGCATGCATTCCTCACCCTTGGCTGCCCAGGTTTTTATCTATTAGGGCAGCGGTTCTCAACCTGGGGGTATAGACTCCTTTGAAGGTCAAATGACCCTCTCACCGGGGTTGCCAGGTTCGTAACAGTAGCAAAATTATATTATGAAGTAGCAACAAAAATAATTTTATGGTTGGGGGGTTACCACAACATGAGGAACTGTCTGAAAGGGTCATGGCATGAGGAAGGTCGAGAACCACTGGCCTAGGGCCAGGGAGTCTTTACCATTTCCTCGTGGGAACAGAATGCGAGCAGGGCTGACCTCACCCATGAGCTACTCACCGAAAGTAGCTCTGAGTCTGTCCCAGAGTAGTCTGCAGAAGATACCGGGGCAGAAAAACTGGCCTGTCCTAAAATGCCAAAGGTCTTTCCGTGATAAGACTTCACAGGCATCCACTGGCTTTTTGTTTTGTTTTGCTTTCTACCTGAAATCTTGGCCTCCAATGGCAAACCTCTTCCCTCAGCACAGAGATAGTGGCAAGAATGACAATGCACCCAGTCATCCAGATTGACAGAATAATCAGGGTTCAAAGCAAAACAGAAAAACCCAACCCACTACCATGGAGTCAATTCTGACTTATATGTGGTTTCCGAGGCTATTAAATCTTGACAGGAACAGATAAGCCTCCATTTTCTCCTGTGGAGTGGCTGGTGGGTCTGAACCACTGACCTAGCAGTTAACAGACCACGCAACAACAGTACCACCAGGACTCTTGACAGTTTACAAGGGGACGGCTCATGTGGAACATGTACATAGTCCAAGAGGCAGTTGTTCAAACAAAACAAGGAGTTACTGCATGGCTTAAAATCAAGAAGGTATGGGATAGGATTGTATTTTTTCACCATACTCATTCAATCTGTATGCTGAACAAATCATCTGAGAGCTAGGCTATAAATAAAACAGCTTTCGGATTAGAGGAAGACTGGCTGCGGCAGCTACATAATCTCCTGTCAGCTTGAGCGAAGGGGTGGAGTCTAACCTGTCAATCGAGTCATAGCCAGTGGTGTCTCGGTGTGGCATGGCCTTCTCCTGAGGATTCTGGGACCTCTGTCTTCCTCCCTGGAGGTGGGACCCACTTTCTCCCTGTGAGACATTCACATACTTTCTCTCTGCGAGAATATTCCTGTTGACAAGTCACACGGGGGCTATGCTGATGGAGCCAGAGCCCCGGAGCTGGAGGAACCATGTGGAGACCCACGCCAGTGCTGAGATGCTTCCACCGTGACTGGATCCACAAGACTCTCTACCCACTGGCCTATGATCTTCCTGAATTCAGTGTCATTGCATGTGTTGCATGAGTCTGAAGAGGAACTTATAAACTGGTATCGGACATATGGGCTAATATCGGACTTACAGACTTGATCTGGACTGGGCTGGGATGTTTGCTTAATATACAATTACTCTTTTATATATAAGCTCTTTCTTATACACATATTAGTGTCTATGAATTTGTTTCTCTAGTCAACCCTAACATACTCACTAACAACCTGCATATGCAAACAACACAATTTCCTATGTTGAAAGGGGAAAGGAATTCAAGCACTTCCTGGTAAAGATCAATAACTACAGCCTTGAGTGTGAATTAGAATTCAACATAGAGAAAACAGAATCCTCACAAGTGAACCAATGAGCAACATCATGCTGTCAGGAGGAAAGACTGACATGCTGCGAAAGAGCTTAGTGTCAAACACAAAGATATCACCTTGAGGATCAGGGGCAGCTAACCCAAGCCAAGGTCAACAGCGAAAGCCGGACAATGGTAGGGAAGCCCCGGGGAGGATTGATGCAGTAGGACAGCGGTTCTCAACCTGTGGGTCTCGACTCCTTTGGGGGTCGAACGACCCTTTCACAGGGGTGGTCCGATTCATAACAGAAGCAAAATTACAGTGATGAAGTAGCAACGAAAATATTTTATGGTTGGTGGGGGGGTCACCATAACATGAGGAACTGTATTAAAGGGTCGTGGCATTAGGAAGGTTGAGAGCCACTGCAGTAGAATTATGGTGTTGACAAATAATATTGAATATATCACAGACTGCCTGGAGAATGAATAAGATTATGCTGGAATAAGTATAGCCAGAATGTTCCTTAGAAAGTGAGGTTGGTAAGAAGGATCAGTCACTGGAGAAAAGACATCGTGCTTGGTAAAGTGGAGGGTCAGCAAAGAAGTAGAAGCCCCTCCATGAGATGGAGCTGTGATTCGGCGGTGCCAACAATGGGCTTGCTCATAGGAAAGATTGTGAGGATGGTGCGGGGTGAGGCAGCACTTCCCTCCGTTGTACACAGGGTTGGAAGGACTGCATTGTTTTCTAAGTGTTCCTGCCATTTAAAAATAGTTACACACACACACCCAGCTTCTAGAGTCAAAACTGTCCTTGGCCAGAATAAGCAGAGGGTTCCTCTGGGCTGACCCGTGTTCCCTCAACTCCTGGAACAGCTGAGTCACAAACAATTCTCAAATGGCTTCCTTGAGAGGGTGGTTTTTAAAAGCTGGCAACCACTAAATAAAACCAGATTGCTGCTGCTGCTTTTGGCCTTTCTACAGTTTGGGTCCATCTTTCATTTTAGGGGGAAAATGCATCCTCCTCAGGCACTGTACACAAGTCACGTGGACTCACCTCTCATGCAGCCGGCGCTCCGACTCCTTCAGCTTGGTCTTGAGGTGTCTCACGGTGACCTCCTTTTGCTGCAGGGGAGTCAAGTACTGCTCTGGATTTGGAGGTTTGACACCATGATTCTCACCACACGACGTGTATCTTCCAGACCTCCTGCAACAACCCACACAGTGAAACGTTGCTTTGTGTCCTGTCTCTTTTATTATTAAGAGAGCAAAGGAACAAAACAAAAGACCCCTCAGAAGAACTGGAAGGTGTCCAGCTACACCCATGACCTTTCTAAACCCGAGCCACAGTAGATGGATCCTGCTAGGCGGGAGGAAAACGTGGACCAGAAATTCCTGAAATAATCAAGCAAACAATAACAAAAAAGGAAAAAAAAACCAGACTTACTAAACTGATAGAGACTCGAAGACTTCCCCGAGTCTATTGTACCGGGGTACTCTTTAAACTTAACTGAAACTAACCCCCCAAATCAGTCTTTAGTTACTTAACAGATTGGATCACAAAATAACGAACAGCACCCGTGAGTAGTTTTCCTTAAAAAAAAAAAAAGAATTATATGAAACCAAATGGTTAATAATTACTTTAGAACAAAAAGAAGACCATAAGGGGAGTGGGAAACTAGATTAATAGAAACAGAACCACCGGAATGTAAATTAGGAGGCTGTTCATGCCTTGTGAAGAATGTCACCAACGATTTGGGTAGACATTGTTGAATGGGAAACTAAACTGCTGTGCAAACCTTCACCTAAAACATAAATAAAAAATAATCATAAAAACAAAAGAACACACAGCTACCAGCTTGAAGCAGCATGGCAGCTGTGGGCAGAGTCTCAAGCCTCAATAATGTGTGACTTTGCTTTAGACGGTGGACTTTCATAAACATGTCAGTCTTAACCCACTGCCAATTCTGACTCAGAACAGCCCTGTGGAAGGTCTCCAAGCCTGTCCATCTTTACAGGAACACACAGCCTGCTCTCTCTCTTGAGGAGTGGCTGGTGGGTCTCACCCACTGACTTGTGGTTAGCAGCCCACCCACCTGACCTACCTACCAATCTTAGGGCTGAGAATTACTGGGCAGGCTGAGGAGGGTGTATGTTTATGGGACGGGAGCTGTGGAGAGGGAAGTTTTTCTATGGTTTACGAATGACTTCATACAAAAGAATGCACAATTGTCCCTGGTCTCAGGCTGTCCCTTCAGTGTATCTTGCTATTCTATTAGAAGGACAATGAGCAGGAGGCGGGGAGAGGGAAGGAAGCAAGATTGCCCTGCCTAGACAGCCTGATTGTTATTAGCTCAATTCGAATTGTCCTGCAACCAGTCCCCTGGTGAGTGTGCTGCTTTGGTGGAAGTTGAACTCTTTCTCCTTCTGACTGAACAGGGGCTACTCCCTCTCAGCAGTGTATGTTCGTGAGAGAAGTGCCCAATGTTCTACAAAACATTTCTAGATGGAAACCTGACCTTTGGCCAGGACTGACCAAGGCTGGGCATCCCTGCTGGCTAATGAGAAAGCAGGGCTTCCAGATGATTCCAGGACTGGCAGCTTCTCCCTGTTGCTGAGACCAGTCCTGTCCACTCCACCAGCCCTACTCTTCTGGGTCCAGCTCCTGATTCCCCAGTCCTTGAGTGATCAGTTTGGAAACGTGGCTCCTTCCTTCTGTCCTAAAGTCTCTTCTTCCCCCTGGGACTCAGCAACTCCTGCGTGACTTTTAGCTCTCCTGTCAATTCACTTCCTCAGGGAAGCAGTGATTCCCGCAGCTTGAGGGGGATGGGCCACACCCTGGCCCCTTTCCACAATCCTATAGCAACAGGTAGTTGCCAAATTATCTTAACTTGTTTTTGTCATTAGATCGCTAATGTCTTTCTTTTCCTCTGGATGGTAAGCCCAAGGATCTTCTCCTTTGTTCAGCATTCTATTCCCAGTGCCTGATGCAGGGCTGGCACATGATGATAAACCACCACCAAACAAACAAACAAACAAAAGCAAACAACTGCTGTCAAATCGATTCTAGCTCATGGTGATCAGCATAGACCTGTGCCCCACAGGGTTTCCAATGACTGAATTTTCCCAAAGTAAATCACCAAGTGTTTCATTCAAGGCATCTCTAGGTGAATCGGAACCTCCTACCTCTCAGTTAGCAATCAAATGTATTACCTGCCGGTAGCACCAGGGACTCAGCACATCCTGGTACTTATATATATTCCGTGTTTGGATCAAGAATGAATACACCAATGATTCTTCCCTCTTCTATCATACTGCCTCCCCCATCCCCCTAGCCAGGAACTCTGTGCGGACCACTGTAACTGGCTAAAACCGTGGACTGTGCCCTTGTAGGAGGACCTGCGTGCAGGAAAGGAAAGAGAAATGTATGACTGCAGAGGCAGGCAGGCAGGCAGGCAATGCACATTGGCAAGAGGTGGATAACCTTTAAAAAAAAAGGAAAGGAAAAAAACCCTCACCGAGTTGGATAAACGGAGAACCGTGATTAAGAGAGAAACAGGACTCACCTCATGACTGGGCTGCAGTCGCTTCCTTTGTAGGAGCCAGAGTTGCTACTACTTGGGGAAGATGGTACGTAACTGGGATGGGTGTTCACAGGACTCAGCTGATTCCGGCACAGCGTGGACAGGAGGTCTTTTTCCCGTGGGGACGGCGGGCTGCTGACGGGTTTGTGCGAGGAAGTTCCATTGCTCCGCCCATGGGGACCTCGACTGGGAGAAAACCATCAAAAATGTGAAGATCCTTGGGGCCAGACATGTTGAAAAGTTCATGCTCTACTTCTCTCGGAAGCTAGTTATTGCTAGGAAAATCTAATTTATAATCTCAAAAGCTCTCTCATGATGAGTACAAACTGTGCTCATGAACAGCCTCCTTAACCACCTACTCAATAGTTTCCCTCCTCCCTCATTATTAGTACAAGCACTCTCTTGGCCGCTCTTCCAAGTAATTCCCCTCCCGCAAAACTGTCTTTGAATTAAACCCAACTGCCTTCAAAGAACACAATAAAGTAGGACACTTGATGAGACTTGGGTTAACACGTTGATTTGGTTCAGGTTCATTCTGTAAACTTGTGAAGGTGCTGTTTTTAACTCTCGAACACCTGTTTCAGTTTTGAGACATTTGGGTTTGGTTCATATTTGGGTAAGGAAATTCAGGCAATTCACTTGGAGATGGGGAAAAGAGGGTTGCTTGTCAAGGAGGAGAAAATGAGATAGACAAACATATGTATCAGGTCTATAATTTTGACCAACTAGATATATTTCTTCTTTTTTTCTACTCCTCCAGGGATTTAACACAACCCTCGCCATTCAACTCCTGAAAAGCTGGGTTGGCTGCCTCTTGTATTGCCCACACCATTCAGGAGGCTGAACTGGTGTGGTTGGGGTGGCCTTCCTAAAATGGAGCTTGGACATCATTGCCCTTCCCAAAGCCACCTGTCAGCTCCTTACCACCTCTAGTGTGAGAACCCAGATTCCTTAACATGGTTCAGAAGGTACGTCAAACTTCATTTTTCACATATTCCCCTCTTCCCACTGTACCTTTGGCATTCCAAGGGACTTGGATGGGTCCTCCATGCTCTAAGGTCATTTTTGTTTCTGAAGTTAGTTTCCTCTGCCTACAAGGTTCTCCTCCCACTCCCTCCTGGGCTGGGTACCTGCTGCTTGGAGACTGAAGGTTACCTATCACAACAGCCTTCTCTGCAGTTTTCCTTCCACGGACCAGCTGGTGTGTCTCACCCGGTGTTCTCCTTCGTATTCTGGGCACATTTCCATCAGGAAATTGATCACACTCTTATCCCGCGCATTCTAGTTTGTCTTTCTATCGGACTGGGGCATCCGTGAGGCTTCTCTTTTCTATCCCCACTATTTCCTGGCCCAGAGATTAAAAAACCAGCCGTTGTTAAATCCAGTCCATCTCAGGGCAATCCCATGTGTGCAAGAGTAGAGCTGGGCTCCACTGGGTTCCACTGACTGCTTTTCCTGAAGAGGGTCTCTAAGGCTTTCTTCCAAGGCTCCTGTGGATAGACTAACAGTGGTTCTCAACCTTGCTAATGCCATGACCCTTTAATACAGTTCCTCGTGTTGTGGTGAGGCCCCAGCCATAAAATTATTTTCGTTGCTACTTCATCACTGTAATTTTGCTACTGTGATGAATCGGGCGACCCCTGTGAAAGGGTCATTTGACCACCCCAAAGGGGTTACGACCCACAGGTTGAGAACTGCTGGACTAGAACCTCCCACTTTTCAGTTAATGGCCATGTTAAACTATTTTCCCAATCAGGATTACCCAGCCTCTTCTAGGAAAGAGATCAAGCATGGCCCAATAGGGCAGATTCTAGATCTTCGACTCCCAGCTCACAGCAGGATTCTGGGGAAATTACTGTGGTAATGTATCAGGCCAGCTACTCACATGGTGGTGTCTTGGTTACACACTGGGCTGCTAACTGCAAGGTCAACAGATCGAAACCACCAGGTGTTTGAGGGAAAAGGACAAGGCTGTCTACTCCTATCCACTCTTGGAAACTCACAGGGGAAGTTCTACCCTTTCCTATAGGGCGACTATGGGTTGGTATCAACAGTGAATTTGGTTTGGAGATTATTCACACGGCAAGCCCTTGCTAAGTGACCGTTGAATGAATCCGCTGGGTGTAAGAACGGGTGGCACTATTACTGGGAATGGTGGCAAATAAGACCCTTAATTTCCCCATCTCTGATTTGGGGGCATATACTAACCTTTTCTGTCTTCCTCACAATGACAATCAGAGGAAAGGATGCAAGGTGGGCTGGTTGGGGTAATGCAACTGGAAGGCATTATTACGGGATAAACTTACTTGGCCGTCCCTGTTTAATCTACTTTCAGAGACTTGACACCCGTTTGTATAAAGAAGCACCTGAGGAATGTTGAAATTACTTAAATAGGAACACAGTGCCAGGAGTATTACCTGATTATATTACACGGAAATAAAAGGTTTATATTATATTACAAGGAAAACAAGATACTTTTAGGATAGCAGTTCTGCTTTTTTGACAATCTTATCTGCACTTTTAATTATACTTGGTTCCAGCTAACACCCCAATGAGAAAAGTATGTCAACATGAATCAGTCTCTCTCTGTATAAATTCACTTCCCAAACCATAACTACTTATTTGACATCAAATACAGTTTCCACTAGCTGTCAATCTAGCAAGTCACACAGAAATGAAGCGTCGCCAAATTCTAAAGCTAATAGTTGTTTGCTTGTGAAGTTATCCATTTGGACTCGTCCCCTCTTCCGTGAGAAGGGGACGCTTTATATGGAACAGATGGGCGGATGGCTTTCTGACAAACCCACTTCAGCAGCCGGGGGGTGGGAAGGCCTGCATGAGTAACTGAAAGGAACATGTACCCTGGCTTGAGTTTCGTATCCGTGCTTCCCTTGTACGTCGGGCATCAGCCAGTTTATTCTTTAATGTGACTGGGGGAGTCATGGAGGATGAGTCATTTCCAGTTCAGAGAGAAAATAAAGAGTTATTTCTAATTTTGACCTAGGCAATTCTGATCTCTGAGTTACTCTTCACTCAGGGCTTTCTGTGACGCCTGCCATTCTCTAGGTGCGCTATGAACCTTGTCTCATTTCATTTGACCCCCACTTTGTAAAATAGGTACAATTACTAGGACACTCCATTGCCATCGAGTTGGCCCAGATTATTCACTCGGGACCCTCTAAGGGAGAGTGGAACTTCTCTCTATAGTTTCCAAGACTGCCAACCTTTATGAGAACAGGCAGCCTCGTCTTTCTACTGAGGTGTGGCTGCGGGGCTAGAATGGCAGCACTTGTGGTTAACAGGATCTACAGGTAATCCATTGCGTCACTCCCTGAGTCAGGGGGATGATAAACAGTCCAAGAAGACACCAAGGCTGGTGAACAGGATTCAAAGCCAGGTCTTTTCACTCTAGAAATGCCTCCTCCTTCTTAACCCCACCTAGGCTAAGGGCTTTTTGAATGAAGTGGTGGTGTGCACTACTGGCATTTGCTAAGGACTCATTTGTTTACACAGGATCAAGCAAGGCTCCCCAAGCTATGAAACATTACCTAAACTCTCCCAAGATATTCCAGGAAATTCATTCATTCATGTGGTAGCCAATCTTTAAAAAAGAAACTAGATGCGTAAAGAGATTGCTTCTATTCCTTTCGTGGACTTTAGCTCAAAGGATGACGGAAAACATTTTCAAAGGAGGAGCAGGCATTCCAGGTCTGTCCTGTCTGTGAAGAAGCAAGCCTGATGCCGACCAAGCCCACCTCGATGCCTTGGTTGTGTGTGTGGGTGGGGACAATAATGCAGTCCACAGAGAGCAGGTGGAATTCTGCTGACCTGCAACCTCCCAGCAGCCCCGAGTAGGGCAACTGGAATGTAACCCAGAGGGGGAGTGTTAGGAAAAGCCCACAAGAGGCCCATGTGTGTCGTCTCTATTCCCCATTCACTGTCCTCCCTCAGGGGGACATGGTGGCAGTCATCATTGCTGGCCGCCTCCTCCTCTTCCGTATCACCAATTCTATAGGTGCTACTATTACCACCCCTGGTGAAAAGAACTATGTTAATGTCCTGCGCTAACAACTGACACAGGTCCGTTCAACACGGGGCAGGAGGGGATGGGTGTTCTTATGCCACTTTCCAGAATAGGATACCAGTCATGCACCTACTGACCCATGAAGGCTGAGGGTAAGCCTTGGTCTGTCAAACTCCCAGTCCCAAGTTTCTTGTTGTTTCCGTTGGTAAGTTAGGGTTTTACCTGTCAGATACATTCTGTCAATCCCATGTGTCCCTCATCTCACCCGCGCCTTTCCCAAATAGTCTTGCAGTGCAGCTGCCAGGAGCTTGTTCTCCAGTGAGCAAGTCCATTCGCCACTCTCAACGTGTACAACGCACGCTTCGTGGAATGCCTTAGACAGTCCATCATGGACTCTCTGCTGCTGCGGCTCTCTGCAGAGCTCAGATTAAAAAGTGAGAACAATGGCTAAAGAACTTTATCGATTCCAGTTTTGGGTACCTCCATTTTCATTAAACCTTCGAAGTCTGTTACTGCTTGACTACAATAGATTCTAGCATAAGCAGAGATATTGGCTTTGCAAGGAATTATTCTTAGCTATATTATTTGATGCTTTTATATTCTTTTTTGAAGAAATCATGAATTCCAGACTGGAATATTTTCTAAAAGTCACAAGTATTAGACGTCCAGATACTTTTGAAATGCTTAGTACAATACGATTAATATAATTTCTACATAGTCTTTTGCTACCTCTTTCTGTATTCATTGACATCTTAGATCATAGTACGTGCTACTTTCTTGAAAGGGCTAAATAAGTGGCTTATTCCCAGAGCAAGCCAGATCTCGGACTTAAGACAGAACTTGTTGGTCTTCATGCCCTATACTCTCAGGGGCACTAACTTACAATACAGAGAGGGCCTTTGGGGAGAGTCATTGAATTTTTACTGTGGACTTCACTATTGCTGTAGCTTTGGCTGGCCCCAGCTGGGGTCTCAGGTTTTTATAAACAGCCAAAGCAAATAAATATTGTCTTGCTGAGTCCTGGACATATAAGCTAGCTTTAAGAGACTAAAGCATTTTTCCTCGGAAGGAATGTTAAAGATGTTGTACACGCTGCTTTTTACACACCGAGGCCCGTGAGAGTCGACTGCAGACGGTGAAGAAGGCTTCTCCAGGTGTTCCTGGCCCTCGCTCCGCCACTTTGTTCAGGTTCTGCTCAGAGCTCACTACCTGGCAGATGTCTCCTGAGACCAGACTACCCCAAACGTCTACATTTCACTCTCTGAGAGTCGTAGGCTGCAAGGCCGGCCATTCAAATGCCCCAGTAGCTCTGAGGAGAGAGACAGGCTTGCTGCTCCCATAAAGAATCACCCCCACCCCGCCCCTCCCCCCGCCCCCACCCCCCCACACCCCCTCCGCATCCCACAGGGGCAGTCTGCTCTCTCGGACTGGAGGGCTAGGAGTTGGAATGGAGTCAATGGCAGTGAATTTTATCGTGGTTTGTCTATCCCTCTGCTCCTTTAAAAAGAATTCCAAGGGGTTCCTGGCGTTTACATTATTCATGTAGGTATTGCCCCTTTTGTCCTGCTTAATGAATATAGTTTCCATGGAGTTCTGTGTAGTGCTCTATTTCCAAAACCCGCCTCCTAGTCAAAGCTCAGCAAGCATGTGCTGAATGAACGGAGTCACGGGTGCTGAGAAGCGTCTCTGAGGTGCACAACCAAATGTGTAACAGGGGCCGCTCATCTCCCGCTAGGCCTCGCTCCTCCATCTAAGCCACGCCAGTGACGGGCATCTGCTGATGATTACTATGCTCCAAGTACTGGCCAGGCACTTCATCGGCACTAGCTCATTCAATTCTAACAGTAAACTCTACATGGCGGGCACGATGATAGCCCCCACTGTCCAGGTGGAGAAACGGAGGCACAGGGAAGTGGTGCAGCTCCCTCAGGGCAGCGGCTCAGAGCCAGGTGGGCTGACTTCAGGACCCTCCCCTGTCATGACTGGGTCCTTTGGTCTCTCGGAGAGGTGGCCACCGTGTCTGTGCACTTTGCACTCTCTGTCCTCACTTGGGTGAGTTTAAGGCCAATGGGTCCACTCATCTGCCTTTGCAAACACACAAAGTGCAAGTCGCGTGAAAGGAAGGAGAACAGAGCCATGAGGAGCAGGTAGGCCCCGGGCGACGGGTGGCTCAGGTGAAGTCACAGGTGAGTGAGGGAGAGGAGGAAAGAAGAGAAGGCTGAGAGGATGCAGAGCCAACATCTGGAGCAGGGCTAATCCCAGGAAGACAGACACAGGCCAAGCTGTGCGACCACAGGATGCAGGGCAGGGAAAATACTCATTTCAAACCACTGTCAAACACACACCCACCCACAGAGAGAGAGAGAGAGAGAGAGAGAGAAAAGCACTTCAATGAGTAATATGACCTCCGAGTCAAAAGTGATTCGGGCCACCCTATAGAACGAGAGGCACGGGAAAGTCTCAATGATTACAGAGTGGAGGGGGCAGTGCCTACTTGCGTGAAAAAGCGGACCTCTTGCTTCCCACCGTGGACATATGGACCTCCGGAGCGGAAATGCTGCCCGTGCTGCTCGAGGAGCTGAAATCGGCTTCACTCCCTGGAAAACAAGAGCAGAGAGAGAGCATGAAGGAATGGAAACCTGAGCCCTGCTGGCCAGTTCCCCACCGTGGACAGACAGCACACCGGCCAGCCTGCCAAGGTCCCTGGCTCCGTCTGTCCACTCGCTCTGCGAGCAGCAGGCGTCCAGGGCCTGCAGGCTTTCTGTGCTTTCCTCCCAGCTGAGCAGGGAAGGCCCAAGCACAAGGACAGCATGTCAGCACAGGACGTAAATACAGCGTGGCAGCACAGAAAAGCTGGTGTCACGGAGATGCCGTGTCCCCCTGGCCATCAACAGTGAGCCAAGACGTGCCCGCCTGTGTGTGCCGGGCTGACACTCAACCACATCCGTGTGCCAGCCTGCGCTGCAGGCCAAAGGGAAAGATGCGTATCAGTCCCCAAGTAGTTTTTCCAAGAGAGTTTATCTTTGGGCTTTTGTTGTCAGCGAGGCATACTGGAATCTGGCACTTTAGTTCCAGAGACAATTGGCCAGTTATAAGCAGTCCAGGAACACTGCCCAGACTCCAGAAACTGCCTGAACCAGCACTCTCTGGTTACTGCCTTTCTTGGACTGCAGGCTCCAGTTTTTCTATTAAGATCAGAACTTTAGCACAAAGCAGCACTTCAGCAATTCCAAGCATATGAAAAAGGCTGATGGAGACTATGATGGACCCTGAGAATGATGCTGAAATTCAGGGTTTAGTTTGGCATGGGGTGGAGAAAGCACTGTTTGTAAATGTACGAAGGTCATATTAAACCGTGAGTACAGATTAGGAATGGGTGTGCAAATGATAAGGAGCCCTGGTGGTGTTATGGAGTAAGCACTGAATTGTGAACTGCAAGGTTGGCAGTTCAAACTTATCAACCACCCTTCAGGAGGAAGTTGAGGCTCTCTGCTCCTGTAAAGATAACAGCCCCCAGTCCCCATGTTTCGATGAGTCTGAACAGACTTGATAGCAGTGGATCTTTTTGGTGTGATTGCAGTGGAAATAAATTGTGCGGTTATTACAAGTTATAAAGAAATACATGTCTAACAAAAAAATGAATCACCATAATTCTGAAATAGTAATCATAGAAATACTCCCAGGGTGATGAACAACAGAAACATGGGTGAAGGGAGACAGTGGATGGTGTAAGATATAAAAATAATAATTTATCCAGGGGTCACAAGGTTGGGAGGG